CTCACAAAGGAGCTTCTGCGTACTTCAGATTCAACATCTCTCTACTGATTTAAGTCTCAGGAAATTGTAAAAAGTTGAGCCAGTTTGATCTAATGGTTAAGGCACCAAGCTAGAAAGTGGGAGACTGTGAATTCTAGTCCCACTTTAGCCATGAAAGCCAGCTGGGTGGCCTTGGGCCAGTCACCTCTCTCTCAGCCCAACTCATCTCACAGGATTGTTGCTGTGAGGCAGAGAGGAGGAGGAAGGAGTATTAGATGTGTTTACTGCCTTGTTTATAAAAACAATAAAGTGTAATATAAATAAAAATAATAAATAAAAAGATTTTAGATTAGACCATCTGGGTAGGTCAGGAAGTGAGAAAATGAGAAAAGAATCTGTGAGAACCAAGGCTATCTCTGCTGTTCTTGGAACAGGGCAAATAAATGTGGCTTAAAGTATGAAAATGATACCCCACAATATTGGAAAGAAGAGTGATTAGGCAAATACAAAACTGTATGTTTTTAACAGTCATCCACTTGGAATATGAACTAATTAAAATCTTAGGGATATTTATCTCCTGCTCCGTTGTTTTTTGACCTCTAACTTTCATCAGTAATCCGCTGGCATTCTCATATCTCAGCTTGCTAAGCTGCTGGTCTTAACAGCCAAAGTTTGTTTGTGTGTGTGTGCGCACGTGCGTGCACATACATGGCATTTTCCAAAGTTACTGGGCATGTTGAGTTATCTTCAGCGCTGTTGTTCTCTTTGGATCCATCTGGATAAACCCAACCCTTTTGGCAGGACATCAAAACTGGGCTCTCTTCTAGGAAGTCTGAAGTTCAGTCTGTAACTATCCAATTTCCAAGACTATTTTGGCACTGGCCAAGGTTACAGGATGATGTGCTTTCAATAACTGAAGCATCTCTTATTATTTTACAAAGCCATGCTCCCTCCGGCATATTCAGTGACGAGAAGCTGTTCATTTTCTTTTCTGACTTCCCTTACTTTGGTGATAGATTTGTGTTACATCCTAGCAATCCAACTATTAAAAGTATAACTTGGCTACTGTATATGGGTTGGGCTGTTTAACTATGATATATGTCATTTGAGTGCATCCAGATGTTGCACACAGCTTTGCCTAAATAATCCAGTATTTATTTACTTATTTTCATGTATATTCGTCCAGTTCTCAGTGGATACAATGCGATGCATGCATCATAATTAATATGACTTGATGGACTGAAAATGCAGTCAGTTGATCATTGTCCTAGACACACACAGTGGTGCTTAGAAATGTGTGAACCCTTTTGAATTTTCAGTATTTCTACATAAGCATGGCCTAAAAATGTGCTGTGTTCTCCATACAAGTCCTAAATCTAGATAAAGAGAATTAAACATGAATCAAAAACATACTTGTTCATTTATTGAGGAAAATTATTCAGAATTACATATATGGCAAAATATATGAGGCTCCAGGATTATCAGTTTATTTGAAGGGGAAATTAGAGTCAAGTGTTTCATTGGGAGGATAATTGGGTGTGAGTGTGGGAGGTCCTGTCTTATTTAAAGAATAGAATTCTGGCTATTCATTCTCAAAGTCTGACCTTCACCACATAGGCATGTGGAAGCGTATGGAAGCTCAATCAAAGAAATTGGTGGGGACCTCTGAAAAATGCTCACCAGGTTACAAAATTACTGCCAAAGTGTTCGGACTCTACCAGTCCATTATCTGGCAGATTGTGTACAAATAGAGTCAATTCAACACTAACGTTACCCATCCCGGGAGTGGTCAACCAAGAAAAATTACACCAAGAACAAGATGTGTAAATTTCAAAAAACCCCAGGTTATCATCCAAGGAACTAGCGACTTCTTTTGCATTGGCAAATGTCAGTGTTATGAGATTACCATTAGGAAAACACTGAACAACAATGGTGTGCTTGACAGGATGGCAAAGAAAAAGTCACTGCTCATCTACAGTTCGTGAAAAACCACATGGAAAACCCAGAAGGCTGTTAGAAGAAAGTTCTGTGGACACACATTTCAGCAAGAGTTTTAGCTAGAGTACCCCAGAGGAAATGAGAAAATGGGTGCCTCCTTGTTTTTCTACCATCAGGCCTCTGACCCACTCCAGTTTAGAGGGGAGGCCAAAAATGAAGCAATTGCTCTCTAATTTTTATACATGGACTTCTAGAGCGCTTGATAATAAAAAGATGTGCAATTAATTTTTGTTCAGCAACTATCCCAGTTTAAACATTATTCTCTTTTAATTTAATTTTAATCTCTTTAGTGGAGATTCATGAAAAAAAATGCTGCTAGTTTCCATTTTAAAAACAAAGAAACAGGTTTGGTTGTTGAAAAGGATGCTGCAATTTCATTGTCGTGTGAGATTAAATTGTGGATCATTTTTGAATACACGTGGAAACTTCCCGTCTTCTAATTTCAAGCTCATTTGAAATTTGCTGGAACCCCCGAAAAACAGAGTAGAACAAGCAATAGAATTGATGGCCCCTATTTAGAACTGGAAATTTAGAATTTATGTAGCTAAATTAGAGCCTGAAGTTCAAAAGGCAAGATTTATGTGTTCTGAGAAGTACCTTGGTTCTTTCTGGGATAACAAAGATTCTGCTGAGGTGTTAGTTCTTACCATGAGGGCCATGGGTGAACCCTATCCCTTCAGAGCATGCTGACAATGCTTGATTCATCATATGACAGCCACATAATGCAGTGAGAAGGTCTGTACCCAGGAGATCTTCACATGCAGCTTTTCTTCCTTTGGAAAAAACATATGTTGAATACCCTTGCTGATTACAGCTCACCAATGTGGCTTAAGAGAGGGACATGGTTCCTATTGCTTGTGAGTGAACAGGGCTTTGCTCACTCAATCTTCTAGTCCCATTGACTGGAACAGCTGATTTTAATTTCCCCTTCAAATGGGCTGATAATCCTAGAGATTCATGTAATTTTTTTTATAAAAGGTTTTATAAAAATTACAATATAACCCCCCAACCCCCCCCCCAACTTCCCAGAGCTGAGTACAGGGTTACAAATATGATAATCATAATCTAACTAACATTAACCAACTATATAAATAACCAAGTCCATAATGCACTTTAACTCCCCTTTAACATAAATATAAACAAATTAAAAATAAATATAATAATAATGAAAACATAAACAAATTAATATCCCAATTATTAAACAATACAATCTCGAAATTGTTAAACAATATTAATACTAAAAATAATAATATCATAATAATACTCTAAAATTCATGTAATTTTGACATACACAAATATATAAACTTGAACCATTCTCTTGACTTAAATAGTTTAATTGGGCTCTCTTTATCTAGTTTTAGGACTTGTGTGGAGAATATATCACATTTTAGGTCATATGAATGCAGAAATATTGAAAATTCAAAACTTTTAAGCATCACTGTACATGGACTTGTACAAATAGTTGTCAGGAATCAAATCTAATTTGAAAGCACAAAACCCCAAAATAAAACAATGCAGTCATGCTTTAAGGCAGGTGACTGTTGCTGACTTTTAGGGATGGTATTTGATTGAAAGGCATGTATCTTGGAAAAGTTGGCTACCAATTAAGAAAAAATAGCATAACTCATTATAACACAAGTCATTTGAGCTCTGCTTAACCTTGAGTATATTTTTTATGATGAGCAGGAAACACAGTATAAGATAAACAACTTTGGTCTTAGGGGAAAAGGTCAAATAGCAATGAGATAATTTTCCCAGCTCAGAGATGGCTGATAAAGAGAACTTTAGGCAGCACAACAACATTGTCCTGAAAACAGTGCTATGTTTAATAGTTAACACATTGTCAATGGGTTAGAAAATTTCTTCAGTGGTATCAAATCTGTGATGTACTCCTGAGCTCAAGATGGAAAACCCAACAAGTGATGTATATTTTTAGGGAAACCATATTTCTTGCTGTTTTCCCAAAGCAGTTTATTTAGATTTTTAATTTATATCATGTCCAATTAACATGTGCTAAGTAGTTTTTCCTGAGTATAATGTAGAACTATAAACAAAAAATTTTACACTCTTGATGCCAAAAACTATGAGCAGAACGGAATCTACTGTGATTGAGGATAAGTATCTATTTTGGATAAAAGAGAATTATATTGCAATCTGCTTCCTATTAAGTATTTTACAGGTTAAATGAATGATCCTTAGAAAATTATGAATGCTATATTTATCACTTTAATATTCTATCAATATTGGGGCCGCATTTTATGGTGAGAGAATCTGAGGGCATAACTTTAGCTTTAGAAAGGATTCTATCAATATAAAGAAAGAACTAGGTATGCCTTTGAGAATTCCAACATTAGTTTGTTTGTTTTTTAAATTTTTTAGTGAGGAATATAAATGTCTACTTAGACTAAGGTATCTAATTTTTAAATCAAGAGATTAAAATATAAAAAATATATGTAGTCTGGACGCATGTGTGTTATATTAAATATATAACTTTTGGGATGTTGATTAGTACTGCCTAGATATTTCTTTAGGTGTTTATGATGTACAATTTTTCAGGAACCAGGAACTCTTCAAGCCAATTGCAATAAAATAAATTTACCAAATAGTGATTTTGACAATGGATAGTTACAATCTGTGGCCTCCTTCACACAACATGCTAAGCCATAATTGATTTTGGTTCTATGAGATGTGCAAATCTCAGTTTGTACATTAATTCCATGGTTCAGTGGACTTAGAACCAGTATCATTTAATAGTTAAGCCGTTAGGTTAACGCTGGGAAACTTCACATCAAATTCACTTTCAAGTGTGGTCACCATCTCTTATTCCAACCTTCGCTGCAGTGTCATTGTTAAACTGAACAGAAATCTCCCCATGTAAAGTACACTGAAATTGTAGAAAAAAAGTGGGATATAAATCCAAACATTTAAAACTAAAAATGAGACTAAGCTAATTTTGAATTAAAATTTTATGTACATGTAGCCTTTTATCTAATTTAAAATTTATATTGTTTTCTTCATACTAGGTGATGTTGGAGCAAATATCATCCATGTTTCCAAAGAGGCCCGGAAGAGGTTTCTTGGCCCTTTACACCCGTCCTTCAACCTGGTGAAAATCATCCGTGCCTGCTTATATAAAACTTTACCAAGCAATGCACATGAGTTGGCCAATGGATGTTTGGGCATTTCATTAACCCGAGTTTCGGATGGAGAAAATGTCATATTATCTGAGTTTAACTCCAAAGAAGAGCTTGTCCAGGCAAGTTGTAACTTTAGGACTTTCTAGGAGCTTTGAACATGAAGCCATAAATGCCTATCTCCCAAGCGCCAGCAGAACTGATATGACCTACTCTTGTCATGGAGGTTCGCCTTTCTTTCTTTCTTTCTTTCTTTCTTTCTTTCTTTCTTTCTTTCTTTCTTTCTTTCTTTCTTTCTTTCTTTCTTTCTTCTCTGCCTGGATTTATTATCTGCAAATACTACAGGCTTCTCTAGTCAGTCCACTTATTTCACATGGTCTTTTCCCATCTCTCACCCAGGCATGTGTCTGCAGCACTTTCATTCCAGTATACTGTGGCCTGATCCCTCCAAGTCTTCAAGGAGTGGTAAGTCAGCACCAGGGTGTTTTAACTTTGAGCTGTTTGGTATTGTACTGCAAGAGCCTGTTCCTGTTTTTCCTGCTTCATCAAGAGGGAAAGAGGAAACTTGGAGACTAGGGAAGGTGACATAATATGCTGCATAATTCTGGAAAAATGATCATAACAATGTACAGTTGTAATCAAATTATTCTCAAAGGAGTGGAGTTTTTTTTCTTGATTGCTGAGATCAAGCATAAGAAATCTGATATTTGGAAGGGGAAAAACCTAGGGGAGAAAAGAGGACTTTTTTCAAAAACAAAAAGAGGGAAAGAAGAAAAGAAATAGTATTATTTGTAGTATCACTTTTATATTTCTGGACCATAATGTTGATAGGAATAATGTATCTTTAGCAAAATTTAACTTAGGTTTAGTAGAATGAAACCCAAATGTGCTGTTCTCAAACGTTTGCTTTTCTTTGTTGAGTAAGAAAGACCTGTTGCCACAAATAAAATGTCCAACATTGGATTGAAGTTGAAGAGCTACCTGGACTAGGATGTCAGTGACCAAACCTGGGACTTTGATGTCATAAAGGGAGCCCTCAATGACCTTAGAATGGTCTTCAGCATTGCCATGAGTTTGTTTTAAAACTTGATAAAAAAAATTGGGCGTGCCAAAGCAGAAAATAAAATATATTCTGCTAGGACTCGGAGAGAAACCTGGAATGTATTTTTTTGGGAGAGGGAAACTTTTAATTAGTTTATCAGAATATAAAATACAAAGGAAAATAAAAATAATGGGAACTGGTGGCTGGGAAAAGGGAAAAAGAGAGAGTGGGGAGTAAAAAGCGAAAAAGAAAAAAAGGTGTTGATTTCCAAATTTCTTTAGCACAGTAGAAAATAGTAACATTAAAACCTCAACTTTTTACTTTGATACAATAATATATACTAGCCATTTCTATAACAATAAACCTATCTAATTAGCAAAACTAAATTTTTATTTTTCCATCATGAGCTCAAAATCTAGAAGCGGTTTCCAAATAAAAACAAAATTAGAATATTCTTTTCTTTGAACAGAGGAATCAATTTAATCATCTCTGTATTTTTTCTTTGCTGTGGAAAATAATATATATTTGCTATTATTAATCGTTATAGATTATCATCATTTATATTAGCAAAATTCACTGTACTCTTTCAGTTTCTTTAATCTTAAAAGAAAAGAAACATTTTACGTCCATTTTAAAACTAAACTTTTTAAAAAATATTTGTAAAATCAACAAATTCTAATACATTTTTTAACTTCCTCTTAACATAGATACTTTCAAATACACTTTCAATATTTTACAAGCTTTAGGAATTACTTAAGCATTATAATAAAGAAAAAAACACATTTTCAAGCCCACTTTACGTTAAAACATATATCAGACTGGTAAAAATTCATCCTTACTCTAATTAACTCATTAAATTTAAGTCACTCATTCTAGCTTACCTTCATAAAATAAAATCTTTTTCCTTTTCTGGAATATCTATCAAGTAATTATAGACTTCTCTTTTTCTCAAGGAATTCTCAACCTTTTTAGTATCCACGAAGACAAAGTTCCAGACCTGCCTTCTTGAAAGTTTCAGATTTTCTTGGAGCTTTTATTTCAATTGTGCTGGGAGGTTTATACTTAAACCATCATCACAATAAAGATTGGTGTCAGATTTATATTCCAAAATTGCAATTGAGTCCTTTACTTTGTCAGCTACTTCTGAAATTGCCTCAGTGGTTTGATAACTTTTTAGACATAATTGCATCTCTGAAGTAGTTTGAGTAGCTTTTATTACATCCTTAGAAATAATTGATCTATAAAGTGAAATTTTTTGTAAGTCACTTAATAATTTCTGACCAATCAGAGTTTATAAAATTTGGAAAGTTTTAACCACCCACAGCAAAGCAAACCAAGCTACAAATTACTTAAAAAATAGAAAAATAAAATGAAAACTTTCTACCCTTATGTTTCTCTATCAAAGTTTTTTTTAAAAAAGATACTTCAAGCTTCCTTATTTTAGCTTCCCTTCAGCAATCCTCTTATGTTGTTGTTTAACAATAAAGAAGTCCCCAAAATGGCGCCAATCAAAAAAGACTAACAGACTATGGCTGAAGCCTCTTTTAACCAAATAAAGATGATAATTCCAAAAAGTGATTAAGAAATGAACAACTTATTGTCCATTTGAAAAATAAATTCCCAGACAGCTGCTTTTTCAACAATAAAGCAATTGCAACCACACACATACCCCTGAGCTAAATCACTCACCAGATGCTCCAAAGCTCAGCACCTGAAGCTTCTTGCAGATCAATGCTATATAGAAGATCTTATAGGGTGATTGTAGGACTTTCTCTAACCCAGGAGAGTCATATAAACTAAAGGAATACCTGTTCCTTCTGTTAGTATGTTGAAAAACCGTCAGTTCAGAGAAAACCCCTGCATGGAGCCTTCCCAGGGCATATCGTCAATTGGCCCTCTTTCATCAAAAGTCAGAAACCTGGGCTGTTTCTTTGACAATAATGAGTCATTTCCATTTCCAGTCCTTCTGCTTGAAAAGATACTTTGAGGGTGTTACGGTAGGGTTATCATGCTTTTTCACTGTAAGTTGCATAGTCAGTGCTTTAGCATCAACACTGTCTGTAAAACTTAGATACTAAGCCAGCCATAGCCATTTCAAGGATAATCAGTGTTATTATTCCCACATTAAAAATGGACAGCTGAACTTGAAAACATCTGACCGCTTAAGCCTACATAGCTACATTAAGAACTTCATGGGAGAAAAGCCAGCTAGTTAAGGGAAAAGTGAAATAGTTCTGCCTCTTAGTCACTCTGTTATGCCAATTCATACAAACAGACAGACAGCACAAACAAAGATATCTTACATTTTATTTGGTTAACTTACTATCCTGCCTTTCTTCCAGGAGCTCAAGAAAAAATATGTAGCAATATTTTATTTCCCCCCAATAAAAGCCCAATGAGATAGCTAGAGATCATGACTGTTCTGAAAACTCCAAGTTAGCTTCTATGGCTATAAGGAAGGGTGAATAGTGCAGGAAACCTTGGGTGAATGCAGGAGGGAAGAGATTAATATAGACATCATATCTTTGCATTGGAATCCTAGGAGAGTCACTGTTTTAAAGATGTTTGAATTGCTTTGAAGCTGCAGCTCACTTGGTCTTGACTAGTCAATGGTATAGTCTGAGTGGGAATCAAAGACAAATTCATACAGGAAGTTCTTGATTGCTTAATAACAGTTTGATGTCACAGTGACTTGGAAAGGGCTCCGCTGCTCCCCCCATGATCGTGTGATAGTGATCTGGGTGCTTGGTAATTGATTTGAACTTATGATTACTTGCCAAGTGCCCTGTGATCATGTGATTACCATTCGAAGTCCTCTGCTAGGTTCCACAGAAATTTAATGGGTAAACCAGTAGGGAAGATTGCAAGCTACTGCTGCTGCCTGCCAAAAGATTTCCCCTCTGTGAATGGAGGAGAGGAATCCTTTGTTAGGCTGTAGAAACAAAGCTCCTGAAGATCCAAGCTTTATTTCTCCGGCCCAGTGCAGGAGTTCCCTTCCATGCATGGAGAGCAGCTGCCTGCTCTCCATAGGTAAGGTGCTGTTTTGCTCTGTCTGCTTAATAACTGCAACTGGGAAAGTTGGGCTTGTGATCGTTGAATGAATCAGTCACATGGACATCTTGATTAATGACTGCTTCGCTCAACAACCAAGATTCCGGGCCCAATTGTGGTTGTATGTCAAAGGCTACCTATAATTTAAGATGCTTCAGCAACCTAAAAAGTCAGCTCCCAATAACTGGCATGATGCCAGTATGGGTAGGGCTTGAAAAGGGCAGTTGGGCCCACTACCAACATCACCCAACCCACAGGCAATTTCACCATCTAGCCAGATTCTGTTCCTGATGTTATGTAAAAATATGAAGTAAAAGAAAAAAAATAATACAGGATTTTAAGCTGGTTGCCTCTTCTATCAATTCAGCTGTTATTCTTTGATTAAAGTACAAATGTAGAGGTTTTAAAAAGGGACAAAGCAGAAACTGATCTTAGTGTTAGTGCAAACATTTTGTGTACTGGATGTTCCAGCCGTAATTGTCCACCTAGTATAGGGGTAGGCAACCTTGGCTCTTTTATGACTCTGTGGACTTCAATTCCCAGAATTCCTGAGCCAGCCAAGGTTGCCTACCCCTGACCTAGTAGTTAATGTAGTTAATGTAGTTGTAGTTTCCTGGAACTGGCTTTGCAGAACATTATATGAACATGCTGGTTGCTGAAGAACATGGTGTGCTTCTTGTTCCTCTTCCAGTTGACTTTCACTCCACTTTGAACTTTCTTTTAGTTTTAATATTTGCATCATTTGATACACTTGAGATTCAGTTTGGCTCTAGAGTGACTATTGTGAGCTGGAGTGACAGATACGTTTTCAAAAATAAATTTGTTTTTTCCACTTGTAGAATGATTTGAGGTTAGGGGGATACTGTTTTGTCCTTAGTTGGGATCAGAGTGGTATTTACAGGCTATTCTATATTTGATGCAGGCATACCTTTTTTCCTTTGGTCTCAGTAGCATTAACCCGCTTAGCTAGTAAACTGCTAACTCTTAAACTGCCTAACAGTGGAATAATGGAAATCCTCACCCTTCTGTCCACCCTGAACAATTCTCTGCTTAGAATGTTGCCAGTGGGAAAAAACAAAAAGGAAAAGCACTTTTGATTTTGGTTTTCTAATTTCAATACCCAGTTCTACCCAGGCAGATTCTAAATAAAAATGCTGCTTAATCATATCTTTTTGTGGTTCCATTTAAAAAAAATAATAATTCAGTTTGAATTACTACAGAATGAAGGGTAGGAGGAGAAACACAAAAAGGAGATATGACAACAAAACATTATTTCCAAAACATATCCCTTCCCTGCTGCACTATCATGATTGGCTGATGATCTTCCCCTAAGCTGGTGATGTATTGAAGAGAGTGGGCAGTGAAGTTGGAAGACTCAATCAATTGCTTTGCCTATCACATCCAGTACATTCAAAACCTGAACAGAATCATTTATTTAGCAGTGGGTCAGAACAGGGGCAGTAGAGGAAGGATACAGATTGGTCTGTATAAGTTTCTGTTGACTCAAGAATGGATGGATAGTATTTTAACTCAACAGTGGGGAAAAGTTCTTACTGAGTATCTTCTGGACATGTTCTTTTCTTTCCAGAGCCGCTTAAGTACAGCAAGTTATATTTTTGCCCTCTGGAGAAACACTCTTTTGATCTCTGGTGGTCAAACATCTTGATGTCATTGGTTAATACGTTCCACTGGTCATTATGGATATCTGAAATTAAAGGGGTCATGGCTATTTTGGCAGCTTTAGCAAATTGGTGGCTCTTTACATTTAAGCCATGGTACTGATTCTGAAATTTTAAAATTCCTAATGAGATATCTATTATACAATAAATGTTATTACTTCCTGAGCTGCAGGAATGTATATAATGGAGAAGCTGGCTTGCTTTTGAAACTATAACATCAGTAAATCATCTCAACATAGTAAATGGGGTGATTTTTCTTGCATTTAGATATGATTACTACAGAGCTAGTTTTTCTGTATAAATTATTTCTCCCCAAGCTTGGCATTGTTTTGTTTTTCATGTGGTCATATTCTGGGCATTAGTTTTTCTTTTTCTATAAGCAATTATCCATATTGCATGTGACTGTATTCTGTAATACATTAAGTGCAACTCCTGATAGCATTAAACTCTTTTATTTAAGGCCAATGGAAAAGGAAACTGCCCAATAACCACTCACCCATACAGACAGAACTAAGAATTACGCTATTTCAGAGCCCAGTGTGATTCATTCAGATGCAGTGATAAATCAAATATGCCTCATTATAGAAAAATGAATGGTTTGAGTCAGATATGTGTGCTGCTTATCTGTCTGATCCTCCATTGTTGAAACAGGAAAAGAAACTTGAAAGACTATGCTTCTGTTTAAACACAGAAGCAGTGGACAATCATTTAAATATGAGCCAGCAGTGTGCTGTAGCTGCCAAAAAAGCCAACACAGTGCTAGGCTGCATTAACAGAGGGATAGAATCAAGATCATGTGAAGTATTAATACCACTTTACAATACCTTGTAAGGCCACACTTAGAATACTGCATCCAGTTTTGGTCACCACGATGTAAAAAAGATGTTGAGACTCTAGAAAGAGTACAGAGAAGAGCAACAAAGATGATCAGGCTAAAAACATATAAGGAACGGTTATGTCTAGTTTAATGAAGAGAAGGACGAGGGGGGACATGAAAGCAGTGTTCCAATATCTCAGGGGCTGCCACAAAGAAGAGGGAGTCAAACTATTTTCCAAAGCGCCTGAAGGCAGGACAAGAAGCAATGGGTGGAAACTAACCAAAGAGAGAAGCAACCTAGAACTAAGGAGAAACTTCCTGACAGTGAGAACAATTAACCAGTGGAACAACCTGCCTCCAGAAGTGGTGAATGCGCCAACACTGGAAGTTTTTAAGAAGAAACTGGACAGCCTTTTGTCAGAAATGGTATAGGGTTTCCTGCCTGAGCAGGGGGTTGGACTATATGACCTCCAAGGTCCCTTCCAACTTTATCATCATTATTATTATCTTGCCCACATTTGTTTTTATCCACAATTAAGAAAAACTACATGTGAGGTTCAAGCATAACATCAAACCATGGTTGCTTGGATACTTTTTTCCCAATTTCAATCTGTACTAGCCAAATGGAGGAAAACGCTAGGGCCATTAGAAGGTCATGCACAGTGTAAAAGTATCCTGTCTCTATATTTGTGGTTTTGTACAGTATGTGCACGTGATAGAAAAAGCATGTAGACCACCATATTTTTTTGTTTAATTTGTTGTCATTTTTGTGACCTGGAATCTGTAGCATGAGTTTTTTGTTACTTCCTGGAACATAAGTGAAAGGCCATGGATTTTTTTAAAAAAATATTTATATATTTGTTACATAAAGTTGCTAATAATAAGAGAAGTGTGGGGACTGCTCTTTATTTCAGAAAAATGCTTTCATCACCTCTTCCTCATCTTATTTTTCATTTGAGAACAGGATTCAGAAGCTACCCAATCCTATACCCTACTAGATAAAACAGGATTAGTAAAACAGGACCTCATTCACTAAAAATTGCAGAAATATCTAATGATTTATTGAGGAGTGAAAAAAAACCTTAATTCCCTTGACTTCTTGATTCCACAATTGTACATTCCTTAACTATAATGACCCAAATGATGAATTATGTATTGTGACGTGATGATGCAAGATAGGCCTTTTTGTACTTGCATTGAGACATACCTTGCCGTGCATGACATTGCAATTAATGTTTTATCATTTGCTCAACCTTCCCTCCTCCCAGAGATGGTTTTGCTTGACGCTCTAGTAAGCTGTACTATATCACCAAATAACTATACACGCCATTGCATTTTCAACTATGTCGGGGGTGTCAAACTGCCGGCTTGCGGATCGGTTGCATCATGCAGAGGTGCGTCCAACCCCAGCTCCGGCAATGTGAAAAAAGTCATGATACATTGCGACACGTCACATGACATGGCGAGTTTGACACCCGTGATCTATGTGCATTTAGAGATCTGAGGAGGGAAGAACAGACTGGGACTATAAAAAAGACAGAAAAAAATCTGCTAACATATTTTCTTTTTTCCTCAGAGATATGTTGATGGAGGGATTTCTGACAACCTGCCTCAATATGAGTTGAAGAATACCATCACTGTTTCCCCTTTCTCTGGGGAGAGTGATATTTGTCCACGGGATAGTTCCACCAACATTCATGAACTCAGAATCACCAATACCAGCATTCAGTTCAATCTGCGCAACTTGTACCGCCTTTCAAAAGCCCTGTTTCCTCCAGAGCCCCAGGTGAGCCCTCTCCACCACGATAGACACTTTCAGTTTTTTATTTCAATAAACAGAGAGCCAGTATGATATAGCACAGTGGTGGCGAACCTATGGCACGCATGCCAGAGGCTGCACTCAGAGCCCTCTCTGTGGGCATGCACACCATGCCCTGGAGAGGACAACCATCCCTCTTCAACCAGCTGCCCACTAACTCGCTGAGCTCCCACATGGCTGGATGTATCCCAGCATAGCTGGTTTCCCTCCTTTCCCCCCATCCCATCCCTCCTGGCCTTGCATGCTCTCCTTTTCCTGGACATGACCCACTGCATCGCTCCTTAGCTGTTAGCTGTCCGTTCAGCTCAGAGGCGGCTTCTCTGAACTGCTGGGGGCGAACTGTGGAGCCCCAGAGTGCGCTGGTCGAGGGGCCGGCAGGCTGTGGCTGCTGACAGACACTTTTGGCCCCCATGCGCTCACTGGCTTCTGTGTGCGGGGGCCAATGGTGTCAGGCAGCAGCCATCCCGGCCCCTGCCTTGCCTTGCCCTGTGGCAATGGCATCCCCGTGCCTCACCTTGCCTCGCCTCACCCCGCAGGACAAGCCTCCTGCCCACCGCCCCACCTGCCAGAGACCCCCAGGTTCTCCCCCAACCCTGCCCGGCCCCCACAGGCATCCCTCCCCACGAGCAACATTGAGGTGACCATGCCCAGCTTGGCCGCACCCACTCAGTCTGCCATGACCACAGCCATGCCCACCCAGTGGACCATGCCCACCAGGCACCCCGTGATAAATAAGTGGGTTTTGGGTTGCAGTTTGGGCACTCGGGTTCTAAAAGGTTCGCCATCACTGATATAGCAGTTAAGATATTGAATTCAGAGTGTGAAATTCAGGTTCTAAGCTTCACTTAGGCACTGAAGCCAGCTGGGTGACTATTTACAGTACCAGACTACACTGGACCAGCAAAGAAAATCACGATTAATAATCTTCAGTAAAGAGGCCTTCATCCTATGGCAGATTGATACAGTATTGACATCATTGTTGCTGATTTTCTATCTTTCATAGTTCGTAGTACTTTAGGAAATTTCTGATTTAGGAAATAGCTATAATCTACTGCCAATCATCCCTCTCATGACTTCCCAATACAGTTAGCCTGCATTTTTATAACAGCATAATCCTCTGTTGGAGGTAAGTCCCTGTCTTTAGTGGAGCAAGGAACGCCTGTACTTGTCAATGCACACACATCACATACAGAATTAACATGTTGAGAAAACACATGACTTTGATACAAGAAGAAAATATAAATTCTTCCTATAGTGCTAGCAGAGAGATGGGAAAGAATTCCAGAAGCTCAGTTTTCTCCAGCATGTAAAGGAATGTAGAATCCACAGATGGCTAGATTCTACATTCCTCATGCTGAGAAAAGGCGTTCAGGTAAGACAATGACCCTTTCCTTTAGAAGATGCTGAAGACAACTTGTTCAGACATTGTTAAGTTGGCTCATGCTGAAAAGCCATGGGACAATAAGCCTTCAGTAGTTTGAAAACACTGCAGCTGGAGGGCAGCTGTTTCATTCCAATGGCAGAAAAATGGGAAAAAAATGTTTGCAGAATTGGCAGAATCTTTATTGGGTTTCTTTCTTCCCCTTGGAGAAAGAAGACTTTCACCAATTCTCTCTTTTCACATGGAGTCCCATTTTGGGACCAGACCTGATATGTTTACTTGGCTTCCCTGAGGCTACATCATTCTTTTCATGACCATTCTGTTAATCATGGCTTTTGCTTCATCCCAACTTGTCAGAAAATATGGATTAGGGCCACTTTGCAAAATGAAATAGCATCCCTGTCTTCCTATAACTTCTTTAATCAGCAATACAACTTTAAAGGTGTTTCTATCTGATCATGCCCAGTCTACAGTGATTACTGGCCAAGTCTGATGCAGAGGTTTCCATTGGAGGTCCCTCTTTCTTCCAAGGGCTACATTTGGAGATATGGATTCTTCCCTCTGCTGAAGTCTGTGGGCATGCTGGTAGTGCAGTTTTTAGACATCTTACAGCTAATTGTAAGTAACATGCTGCTTCTCTCTCTCTGCAGATTCTCCAGGAAATGTGCAAGCAGGGCTACAAGGACGCCCTTCACTTTTTGAAGAAGAATGGTAAGCTCTTAATAGCTTTGCATTCTCTAGGAAAAGTGAATCTCGTGTCAGGTGTTCTTTTCTCTATTTCTAATAGAGTATCAAAAAGGAGAGCCTGTCTTGCATTCCAGTCATGACTGTATGTCATCCTGTCTAGTCCCTTTTTGCTGTGTAGAAAATGTGCAACGCTTGCAGTCCCTTTTGATGAAAACAACATTATTTGGACACATACATGGTTTATGGATGTTAGTGCTCAAATTTAAAAAATAAAAACTTTCCCACTCAGCCAAAAGGTAGGAGATGGGTCAAATTACTACAAAGTGAATTTTCAAAACTGATATTGCTTATTGCTTAATTGAAGTTTAGTTCTTTTTCTATTCTATATTATTAAACAATTGACTCAATGTTTTATATGCTTTTGCACAAATCGAGATGTATTTAAATGAAAACTTCCTTTTTGAATGGTAGGCATCTGCAAATTTTGTATTTACTGGTCAGCGAATTGCAGACAAACTTCCTTGAGTGGAAGTTGTGGAAAAGTACGGCGATGTATTATGCAACTTTTGCTGTATGGCTTATTCAAAAATATTTTTCAAGCATTCTTATAGAAATGGGGTGGTATGCAAAAAAATATGACCAAAATTATACTGATAAAAACGATAAAAACCAATTTATATACAATTCAAATAATATTACCGGCTAGAGTGCATAATGTAATCCTTGAGATTTTGCTGATCTATAAATCTCAGAAACCCCTAGCAACATGCCAATACTGAGGGACACTATATTTTCCATATTTTCTCTACGGAGGAAGAAATTCAGACACACACACAAAAAAACATTTTCTCTATTTAGTTGCCATGTCATGCACCCTCCTGGCAGAGCTGCTATCTACTTCCAGAGGTGCCTACGTGGTATTGAAGGAGCATCTTGTCTAACTGAAAGTCACGTGATTCTGTAGAACTCTTACTTACCGTAGGTTGCCTGGCTAATTCTGTAACTGCAATATATTGTCTGTCTCTATAGCACCACCTAGTGGTGCGATATTTCTCATGCAACCATTTTATTCACTGAATTGTTTTCAATCCTGGCAACATGCTTCTTGTACCTGCAAGGGGACTCATGCCATTGTTCATTGTAAGCTGAGATTAAATAACCATAATGATACATTCTCAGCCTAATTGCCTGTATTAATTCCAAAGTTTTCTTAGGATATGATGTGCAGATTTGTGTCCTCTTAAGAGCAGAGCTATAGAGTGACTAATTGAATGATACTCAGCTGAATGTCCAGGTCTGATTTTTATATAAAGATAAATTATAAGCTATTGAGTTTCATCTATTTTGCTTCTAAACAGGGGTAAAGATAATTGTACATCTGAATATCCTCTCCATCTGAATTTTTTTTACAGAAGGATCTACACATATTAGCAGTTTGATGCTTATAAAACAGCACAGAATATTATACAGAAATGCCAAGATTCACTTTAAAAACCACTTTGGCTTGTGGCTGCTCAACATATTTTTCCTGGCTGCTTCTTGTCCTCTGTTTATGGCACATAATAGCCAACAAGATGGCTTTCTTGCAAAAGGTTGTTTCTATCTGCTACTGCCATATTCTCCAAGGTGAAGGGGTGAAGAGAGATAACCTAACAGTCTAATGATATTTCTAGTGAATTCACAATTCTGCCACTTATCCTTTTTCTCTAGCTCTCCTCCAAAGACCTCCTCTCCCTCTGCTAGCCATTAGCTGTCATTATGAAGAAGGGGACTCTGAGAAAGAAAAGGATGAGGATGATCAGCTGGAAGAAAATGTTGAACTGGCAGAGGCTGAAGAACACATCCTGGAACACTTGCCTCCTAAACTGAACCAAGGTAAGATCTTTTGTTGGAGAGGAAAGTTGCTGTATTGCTTTGTCCCCAATTTAACTGAGCTGTTCATGTTCTAAGTCACTTTTTCCTCATTTGGCCCTCCTCCAAATTCATTGACTTCAGCTCCCAGAATTACCAGCAAACATGACCATGGCTGAGAATCCTGGCAGTTGAAATCTACACATCTGGAGGGCATGGAATGGCTGTTTCAAGTATGCTTTTTTAAAGAAAGCAGATAAGCAAATTTTCAAAGAAAAAAAGTTGTCCACATGTAGATGTAGTCATTGCTCTCGGAAGGGGACAAGGAATTCATAAAATTCCTGTACCAATCTTTGCTCAAGATAATCACAGGCCAAATTTAAATTCCTGGCTCTGTTGAGGAGCTTCTTGATCCAAAGATGCTTTTTCAAGAAGCAACTGAACTGTCTTATTTTTCTTTGAAGACATTTCACTTCTCATCCAAGAAGCTTCCTCAGCTCCAACTGGATGGTGGGGAATGGGAGGATTTATATTCCTTGCAGAACAGCTGGTCATTTGCATTGTTTTATTGTTGAGGCCACCTAGAGATTTATCTGTATCCTCAGGGTCACCTGAGTAGTACAAATGGGTGTGGAGCCTTTTTGGGACTGCTGAAGAAGCTTTGGAAATCATAAAGCAACAGCAGTGGCAAGAAAAATTGAACACCATGAGGCACAAATCATCCAATTAAAGTAAAATCAGTTATTTCAATGAGTAAAAATGACAAAAGAAATTCTGAAAATGAAAAACCAAAAAAAGGTAAATAATTCAGTTTTGGAAAGATCTATGGAAAAATGATGGATGGATAAAAGAATTTGAAGATGAATTTAATAAAAATCAAATGGAAGAACTAATGACAGCAAGAATTGAGTGTAAAGGATTTAAAATTGGACAAGTCCTGCAAATAATCAGTTGCATGGCTTTTGCCTCAAATATCTGACTATCTTACATCTAATTAAAGCTAAACTGCTTAATGAAAAATTGCATAAGGGAAACATTAGTGACTGCTTAAAGATAGCATAATGTATCTGATTCAAAAAGACCCAGCAAAAGGGACAATAACAGGAAACTCCACTAAACTATTTTTTAGTTGAATTTTCCTTCATTTAGAATCTCATGAAGTAGTAATAGGGGTGTCATTTAAGTTGTGGATATGTGCAAATTTAGGGAGGGCTTATAACGGACAAGGTAAAACTTAACATTGAGGAATAAAATCTTTTGCAACTGGATTAGAAGTGCAATAATTAAATGCAATAAACGGTTGAATTTTAAAAGAATCATTGATTTCTGTGCTCAAAACTTGGCAGGGGACATTGATTTAATATACCTTCTCCATCTGCAGCACTTTTGGAAGCCTGTACTGAGAGGAAGGGATTGTTCACTTGCATTGCCAATTTTCTACCTGTGCGTCTGGCCTCTACTTTGATGCTACCATATACTCTTCCTCTAGAGTCTGCTCTCTCCTTTACAGTCAGGTATGTTCTAAATTTCCTTCTTTGTGGCAAGAGAACATTAGTAGGATTTGCATTGGATGTTGAATGCATTTACAGCAGTCAGCTAAAAAATTAGTATTTAACTGTATTTCTTTCTAATAAGCAAAGGTGGAATACATTCAGATGAAATTTCTTCTGAGTCAGTGACATCTCCTTTGCTATAGTTAGAATGAACCAGAATTTACATTTTAAGATTTTGGGGTAAGAAAGTTTTGTATCCTGCTATGTTGCAAATTTTGAAATTATATAGGTAATTCCTTAGAGAGAAAAGGCTTTCCTGCCAGTAAATTTAAATTTGGGTCTAACTGTTCAATTTAAAATGTAACTTTGTGAGGCAGTGCTTATCTCACTGCAAGGCAGAATCTTACTTTTTATGCTGCAAAATGAATGTTTATTTTGATTACCTGCCATCAAGTCATTGTGACTCTTAGTGACCACATAGATCATTTTTCTCTAGGACAGCCTGTCCCCAGCCCTGGCCAGTTTTTATTTCTATAGCATGTCACAGGAAAAAACATTGCTTGCCTCATTCTGAATATCTTGACATCTGAATATCTTCCCTTTCTAGGCTTTCTCGTTTAACAACAAAAACACAACCACAAAAGAAAAATTAACAATCAATTAAAGAGTATCTAGCTCTTATGTCAAAAGCTCTAAAAAAGGGTCTTGATTTGCCTTTCAACACAAAGACAACAAAGCAGATTATAGTTATTTTTCATATGATTTCACTTCTTTGTGTTTGTGCATCTTTTTGTATTGTTTTAGTAAGGGGGGGGGAAAGAAGGGGGAACAAATAGAAAGGAAACAAGGAAAAGAACAGTAGCCTAGATGCTATAAATAGGAAATGTTTCAGCCTATTTTTAAACACTTAGTTAAACCTTGGCCACATGGAATATTATTGATTGGTCTTTCCATTACATCAGAGAGAACCATGTCATAAACAGACAGCAAACACATAGTGGCAATCCAAGATTTTAAATTTTGGATCACACTATCTTGCCAACAGTGAAGAATAGTTTGTTTTGCTGATCCCCATTTGATATATCATAATTTTTAATTTCACGATACATTCTAAGGTTATATATCTAATTAAAAATACATTCACTTCTTTAACCTGTATTGAACTTTGTAACACCATATTATCAAAGATCATAATATACAATATTTTTTTACATTCACTATGATCTCTCTTATTTCCCACAAATAACATAATAAATTTAATATATTCCATTTCTAGCTTAAATTTCTATTACTACTCAACCTGTTTTAAAACTTTATCAATATACAATTACCATAATCAAATATTGTTTTACATCAACAAATTATTACTTCGAATATCTCTACCAGATATGTTAAAGTTCTTAATCTCTCTCATCCCTCTTTTTATCACCAGTCTCATTTATTTCTTCTTCCAATAGTAACTAAATTAATTAAAAAAAAATAATGTTAAACCTTAATTCCTTTCAATTCATTACACAAACTTCAAATTCCATCCAATTAATTATCATGCCTTATCAAAACATATTGTTATACACAAAAATCACCTAATCAATTTAAACACTTCAACATTCCATTCTCATAATTGAACATTTTTTCAATTCCAGAACATACATACATACATACATACATGTATATAATTATATATTTTTTAATCCTTAATACAATCCATAAAGCCAAGGTTCTTTTTTGTTTTTGTTTTTTGCACTCCAATTTTAACTTTTATATTTCTGTACCAAGTAAATTTCCATAAAGCAAAAAAATCATCTAACTAATTTAAACATACATGTATATAATTGAATTTTTCTTACTTCTAACTCTAGATCATTATCCTTAAAACAATCCATAAGCATTGCCTTTTAATCCATTAAACCGTTTTAAATTTCTTTTTCAGTCTAATTCTGTTTTTTTTTCTATGCCACACAGGCTTCCATAAAAGCACTTCCCTTTCAACCATTAAATCCATCCCTGTTGCTTGTAGTAATCTTTGAAGAAATATAAATCCCTTCCTCTGCAGTAAATGTCTTTTTCTGTTCTCCTTACAGCGTCGTTGCTTTGTAGTTTGAGATCTTAGTCTTTGCTTCTTCTGATTCTCTAAGTTGCTGAAGAGAGGGTTGTCAGATGAAATAAGTTCCTCCTCTATCTCTGTAAATTCCTCTTCTGGTACATTTTGATTTATACCATAGTCAATTGTAGCCTGAACATCAGTTTGAACAAATGTAGTAGAGTCTCTGGATCTTGATTCTAAAGTACAGTTTTTAAATGTACCACATATTTCTGCAGTGGCCTCATAGATCTTTTCCAATATAAGTGTGCAGTTCAATTGTGGCTGAGGTTTCTCCATTTTAATGCTAATGCTTAAAAGAAGATCTCTTTTTCTTTTTTGTGGAGGCTATATTCAGTGCAAACAACATCCACCCCCACAGCTTCCACAGCTGCACAGCTTATCTTTCCCTCACAAATATTTTAAGATTCAGTAGGCAAATAAGTCAAAGTTGCAGTATTAAACTTTCGCCACTAGATGCCTCAGTGAGTTAAAAGAAAAGTCTTTTCCAAAAATCAATTCCTTTTTCTATCTTTTGAAGTAATATATATAAAAATAGAAAAATAATACAGTTCTTAAAAAGAGAGGAGAGAGAAAATCTTTTCCATCTTTTTTCCTTTTTAGTGTCCAAATAAAATATATATCAAAGTAAAATGTAGTCTTTTTCAGTATTTATAAAACATCTTTCTTCCCCCAAAAAGCAGAAGCCGCCTATCCAAGCCAGGGAGATAATTCCAAAAGCTCTTACAGGTACCCAAACAACAACAACAACAACAAAATAAAAAAGAGAGAGTTACGAAAAACAATTCTCACCCAGATTCACCACAGGGGCACTCAAAGCTTAGATGTTGTCTGACTTTCGGTCTGAAGCGGCAGGGCGATCGGCCATTTTACTGGCCGATCTTCTTCTCCATCGGTCCTTGGAGATTTGTCCAGACAGCTGGAGGAGCCGCTGCTCCTCCGCAGATGGACAGCAGCCTCGACGGAAGTCACATCCTCCAGGGCGACTTTGGACCCGTATAAGAGTCCACCGATGGAGGGAAACCTAGCTGATGGGGAGTGAAGTCTTCCTGTGCGACTAGTGACGCCGCGAATCGGAACCGGAAGTCTAATGTATAATATTTTAACACCCCAGCCATCAATTTGTTAACATGAAATATTCTAACTCTTTATTCCCTTTTTTTTTTGCAAATCTTAGAGATGCTCTTTAATTTATTATAAAGTAGTATAGCCGTTAGAGTAATCCAAAATGCTTTCAAACAGTGATAATAATTTTAGAATTTGGTTTAGATCAAGTGCTATCAATTGTACTGACTGTTAGCAACTACATGGATAGATTTCTCAGAATGCTCTAAGCTTGATCTTGTTGATCTCTCAGTGTCCATTCATTGTGTTTGTAATCAAATTTATTCCCCTTGCTTCTGGTCATGCTCCTGTTTTTTTCTTCAACTTTTCCAAGCAACATGGACATCACAATACTGTAGGATTCTGGAAAGACTTAGTTGTTCATGACTTATGTGACAGCTGAGGCTTCTTCCAGATAGTCTCTAGCCCGATGCACACAGATAGACATACATTTGACTTTATTTTTGCCTCAGAGGAATTAGTACATGCCCCGTAGCTGAAGGTCATTATTCTAAATCCTTTGCTGTGGTTGGATCATTTCTCGTCCAGAAAAGGTTTGTTACTCTAGGACAAGGGTCTCCAACCTTGGCAACTTTAAGACTTGTGGAATTCTGGGAGTTGAAGTGCACAAGTCTTAAAGTTGTCAAGGTTGAGGATCCCTGCTCTAGGAATTTCCTAGATTAAAAGGCCAATTATTATGCATCCTGATATATTCAAATAGATATTTGAGAGTTTCCTAGCAAAATGGCAGGCAATTGCACTGACACGTGTAATGGGAAGGGTAGGAAAATGCCTGAGGTGATTGCCCCCAAGTGGTCCCCATGTTTGCTAGTCCTAGGATGTTGCTTGGTTTTCTGAAACCAATGCCTGCTTGTTTTCAAAGACAGCAATTATGCTGAAGAGGTCAATGGGTTTATAAAAATCAGGATAATAATAATAGCCATCACAGGCTGTTCTTTTCATTGAAAGTAAAGGCTGCCAAAACTGCAACTCACTACTTAGTATTTTCTTTAATGATCACAGGTTGAATATGTTACCTCCTGAGGCCTTGTCAGTTTTCAACTGAGTTAGCAGATTTTTGTCCTCTGATGCTGCAACTGAAGTAGCTATTTCAGTAGAGGGCAAACATGAAAATAAGTAAAAATCAAGAGACTGTCCAATATGTTATAAAGTATGCACTGAGATAGCCTATTACAATACACCCCAAAAGTGTCCAGTCCCTTGATATGACTGATAGTATTCATTGTTGCTTATGGCTTTTAGAAGAAAGGGGAAGACAAAGGGATGATTAATGGTGAGATCAAAAAAAAATTACAGAACAGGCCTGGGAAGAGCTACAAATTGTTGTTGGAGAGAGCTCACAAAGTACTTGAGGTTACCTAGCATTGACTCTGACTTGATGGCACCTGAGTAACTTTGCAGTTACATGGAGAGAATGCTATAGAGAAGTAGCTTCTATACAGTGTATAATGACTTTTCCAATTCTGGCGACCGATTCTCATGCTAGCACTGTTTTTTAGCCGCTTACTTAAAGTGTTGCAAGTTTTAATTGGCATGTGCTATTTTAGGAATTGCTCTAATTACTTTGGAATTGCTTGTCACAGCTTTGTGCATTACTGTAACCTGCAACCTATGATTTTCAGTGGACATTAAGATAGATAGATAGATAGACAGACAGACAGACAGACAGATAACCTTTATTGTCATTTTTTTACTATGGGCACAACGGCACATATTAAAAATGAAGTTTAGTTGCTTGCTTTCAAAATGTACATATACAAAACACACATTTAAACATACTATAAACAACATATATATAAATCTATACCAGTGATGGCAAACCTTTTAGAGACTGAGTGCCCAAACTGCAACCCAAAACCCACTTATGCATTGTCGAGTGCTGGATGGCCGTGGCCCATTGGGTAGGCGTGGCTGCGGTGGTAACGGCAGACTGGATGGGACTAAAAAGTTCAATTCCAACTTTACAAGATCTTTTTTTTTTCCCGCGAGAAGTTGAAATTGACTGATTGAACTTTTTTTTTGCACATGGCGGCAGAGACCTAAAGCGAAAAGGTTTTATAAAACCCAACTGAAGGCCTAGGACTGGGGCAATGGCGCGCGTGCCCACAGAGAGGGCTCTGAGTGCCGCCTCTGGCACCCGTGCCATAGGTTCGCCACCACTGATCTATACCCTTATATATAAGTAACATATAAATATTAATCACTGTCCATCTTGAATACATAATGGAAGGAGGAAGCTTTAGAGTTCACAAGGTTAATCCTGTATGGAACAAAGCTGTGACTGAATCTGGATGTTCTGCTTCGGATACCACAGAGCCTTCTCCCAGAAGGTAACAGGGAAAACAGATCGTGAAGAGGATGTGTAGTGTCCCAGATGATCTTGCAGACCCTGTTCAAGCAACACTTGTATATTATATACTGGATGGGAGGGAGGGAGGGAGCTGCCAGTGATCTTTTCAGCCATCCTCACCACTCTCTGCACTGCCTTCCTTTCTGAAGCAGCGATGCTTCCAGTTAAAGTAGTTATACAGGTAGTCCTCAACTTATGACCACAACTGAGCCCAAAATTTATGTTGCTAGTGAGAAATTTGTTAAGTGAGTTTTGCCCCATTGTGACTTTTCTTGCCACGTTTGTTAAGTAAATCACCGCAGTTGTTAAATTAGTAACGTGGTTGCTAAATGAATCTGGTTTTCCCATCGACTTTGCTTATCAGAGTGTTGCCAAAAGTGATCATATGCCCCCCCAGAACACCGTGACCGTCATAAATGTGAGTCAGTTGTCAAGCATCCGGATATAAATCACACGACCATGGGGATGCTGCAATGGTCGTAAGTGTAAACAATGGTCACAAGTCACTTTTTTTTGGTGCCGTTGTAACTTTGAAAGGTCATGTGAGTCGAGCACTACCTGAACATTCTGCCTAATATTAGAATAATTTTGAATAGTTATTATTCAATAGTTATTGAATAACATGTTCCTATGGTCCTGAAGGTCCTCTGTGTGTTCATCCAAGAATCATCCAGTTCAGGGGTAGGCAACCTCGGCTCTTTTATGACTCATGGACTTCAACTCCCAGAATTCCTGAGTCAGCTATGCATGCATGAGGTTGCCTACCCCTGATCCATTTAATCTCTGTGGAAAAAAGGATGCTGGACTAGATAGATCTTTGATCTTTTTTTAGCATGGTGGGTTTTATGCATGCACTTCCTGTTGATACAAGTGGCAATCCTGGGATAATTAGTTAGAAATTTCAGTTAAGTGCTTGAACCTGCTGTACTGTATTTGAGCGTGTTTACAATATTGGAACAGGGTTTTTTCCAACTAACACTTGTGCATTGCACCTACCGACCATATTTAGGCTGCTTGAATGGCTGCCAGATGTTCCAGAGGACATCAGGTGGATGAAAGAACAGACACGGAAAGTCTGTCATTATTTCATGAGAAAAGCCAAGAAAAAGCTAGGAAGCCACCTTTCAGCCAGGTAGGATGGTTGCTTCTTGTCTCACATTTCTAAAGATAGTCAAACATGAGGCACAATACAATGTTTTTACATAATTAATGCCATTGCATTATTGAATTGGGAGATTTTGCAGTTGTATTTGCCCATGCTTCGAAATTGGTTCCTTTGGATTCTGTTCCAGGTATGCATGATTATTTGCTTTGTTCTTAAAGCCAGAGACTGCTGAATGGTATATAAACCTAAGTAAGTATAACGAGCAAATAAAAAAACACATATTCCCCAGTCAGAATAATTCTGAATATAGCTGTGTTTCTATAACCTATCAGTAGTTATGAACATGGTCTCTATCATAGCATTCCAGCCTTGAATTGCCCTTTCTCTGAAGGCCAAGTGCTTTAACAACCACAACCTATGTGTCTGTGATTGTTTTTTAAATTGTGGTATAGTTATTGCTGTTTTAATTTTTAATATAATGCTTATTTTTTATTTTGTGTTATTGTTTAAGATGGTGGATTTATGGATTTTAACTTGTCCTAAAATCCTTAAGATAACCGTCATGATAGAAATGTTCTACTGTAATAAATAAAAATACATAAATAAAATGTAAAAAACCTAGTACAGTCCATTTCAAAACCAGGTAACAAAATTCACTTTCATGTCTGAATTGAATTTGTAAGGTGTAAAATAACTAAGGTCCATAAATGTTATATAGGATATAATGGAAGATACTCTACAACAGGGGTTCCCAACGCCTGGTCCGTGGAGTGGTACTGGGCCATGGCATGCCAGCAACCGATCCGCACAAACAAATAAAGCCTCATCCGCGGGATGCAGGCAGCACACAAAACCACGCACCCTGCGGTCCACAGAAAAACCTCTCTCCACAGAACCGGTCCCTAGTACCCAGAAGGTTGGAGACCTCCGCTCTACAAGTCTACAGCTATAAAGGAGGAGCCAAAGGTTTATATTTTGAGAAACATTTTGGATTGAAACAAACTAAAATAACAATTTTAAGCAGGTTGTTCAAAGATTGTCATTATAGGATTATTGAAAGAGGTTCCAAGTATAAGATTGAGAAAATAAAAAATTCAGCCCATTATTTTCACACCTGTTCCTTGTCAAGGGTCATGATAATACCGGTAGATCACAGTACATAATGAAGGAGCAATGTAATTATTACTGCAGGCATGGGTGATATGTGCTCTCCAGGTATTTATGAAAGAGACCTCCCATGTTCCCCACATAGCATAGTCAATAGTAAGGGATACTAGGGGTTGTGCCATTCCCTACTCCTGTGTCAAAGTTACTGTTAGGTTTTATCTCTCGACCAGGAGCAATCATAGTTTCAGCTGGAGACATGCATTTTTCTCAAGCCCTTGGTTGGTAGCATTATTGGGAGTTCGGACTCTATCACTATAGAGCAATAATGGCAAACCTTTTAGAGCAGTGGTTCTCAACCTTTTTAATGCCGCGACCCCCAACCGGTCGTAAATCGAGGACTACTCAACCGGTCGTAAGTCGAGGACTACTCAACTGGTGCAGCACTGTTTGCAGAATGGGACTTTTGGTGGGCTCAGCAGGGCAGAGACAGCCTGGACAATTCCTATTGGCTTTTGAAAGCCAACAGAATTAGACTCTATTCAAGAGAGTCTAATTCTGTTGGCTTTCAAAAGCCAATAGAATAAAAGGGAGTAGCACAGCTAAGGAAAAAGGGGAAAAAAAATGGCGGACTGAGTTGTTTGGCGACCCCCATGAAATGGTCGTTCGACCCCAAATGGGGTCCCGACCCACAGGTTGAGAACCACTGTTTTAGAGACCGAGTGCCCAAACCGCAACCCAAAACTCACTTATTTATCTCAAAGTGCCAGGGGTCCATCAGCACTGTGGTGCCCTCAGGGGGCACGCAAAAACCAAGGGCGCAAAAATGGGCCACCATGCTGCAAGGCACAAAAATGGCCACTGCTGCTCCACGGGGTGCAGATACAAGGCACTGCACTAAGCAAGAATGGGGCTGGGCTATTGAGTATCATGCAGGTACTAGCCCCACCTCATTTTCAACGCGTGCATACTTGCGGCCTCTTGCATGCACACACATATGTAAAATACTTCCCCCTCCCTTTTCTTCCAGTCCACCAATCGACAATGGTTGGTGACCTTTACTCTACCACCTCTACTCGAGCTTGCTAGTCAGCCGCTTCACCTCCTTTGTGCTGGGCAGGGCTCCTGCTCCGGGCAGTGGTGGCGGCTTGATGGACCTGTTGCTGGCGGTGGCACATGTGCCAATAGAGAGGGCTTTGAGTGCCGCCTCTGGCACGCGTGCCATAGGTTCGCCACCACTGCTGTAGAGGCTCTTTCCCAGAGGGACCGGTTCTTATCACAGTCTCCCCTGTACACCTTCCTTTCTCAGGTTCAGTGAAAGTTAGAAGTTTGATGATCATTAATCTGAGGTCTCTGAAAGTTTCCTCCAAAATTAATGCATCTCAAATGGAATTATCTCCAAGAAATCGGGAAGGTGACTGTAATGAGAGCCTCGGGGAAGAACATTCTGTTCCTCCCTTCTATCTTTCTGCAATGTTAACTTATCTTGCTGATTTTTTTGTTATAACATGATGCAAAAGGGCAGTTTCAATGGGACGTATACTGCATCTTTCCCTCCCTTTTTTCTTCTCAATTCCCTTTCCATTTTTATTTATATGTCAACGCCGGGAACCCAAGTGTGTTAAATAATACTTACCAAAATAGCATGGCAAACTTTAATTCTTCTCTCTTTCTCTCTTAGGCTGTACTACCATCTCGAACTCCGAAAAACACAGAGTTTGACCGTCCCTTTGGGCACTGCTTGTGGGGAAGCATTGCCAAAATGGCTAAGGAACAGTCTCTCGCTAACAGATGTTATGACAAAATGGGAAGAATACCAGCGCCAGCTGATGCTAGGGCTATTCTGCATCAATGTGGACCTGCAGGCCTCCATCTTCCCATCAGACGGGCTGCAGATGAGGCATCCACCAGCAAACTACACAGAAGAGAGCCTTCAGCTCTTTTAATGCAATCATCAGAATCTGGTTGTGGGGAAGGGGGAAAGAAGGGGGGCAATGACTGCATTTAGCAGTTTTCTAATGGAACTCTTTCACAATCACAGAGGAATTTCTCCTCCCCTCACAATTCAGACAGGGTATTGATAACAAAATAGGCAATTGTGCCATAACTAAGCAGGTGACTGGCACAATGTAAATACCCACCAAAATGTGTTGGGTGTTGCATATTTTCTGGGAGACAGTGATATAAATAATTTGACAACTGCAACAGAAATAGTTGATGCTTGGGCTGAAGTGAAAATTTTTTTATTCAGGGCACCTCTTCGACTGTTTATAATAAGAAGACTGGGACATCATCAGGATTCTAGGTTTTGTTTTTAATCCCCCTTTGTTTTAAATCAATATTATAACATGATTTTGTTGTTAAAGACTTGAGTCCTCTGGGATCATCCTTCTTTGTGATATGATGCAGTAAAAGAAAAGCCAGCAAGAGCTATCAAATCAGCTCTTAAACCAAATGAAGTCCTCAATTTTCACTCTGTGTTATGATGCAGTAAAAGAAAAACCAGCAAGAGCTACCAAATCAGCTCTTAAACCAAATGCAGTCCTAAATGTTCACTCTTAAGTAGAGACACCTTATGCTTCCTGTACTATATTTTCTTGTAAATTTGAGTGGATGCCTCTATGTCATATGTAAAGAATGAAGCTAACCTTTAGACTACTGGGATTCATGGCCTACCAGTGGTGGCGAACCTATGGCAAGCGTGCTAGAGGCAGCACTCAGAGCCCTCTCTGTGGGCATGTGCCCCGTCGCCCCAGCCCCGCCTCCCCCCATAGCTCCCCCCTTACCAGTAGCTCCCCTGGAAGAGGGTCACCAAGGATATGGCAGCCAGGCAGAAGGGACAAGACTCCGCCCTCGTACCCCATTGCGTGCAGATGCTGCGGGGTGTGGGCGGAGGGTGTGGTTGCCATGGTGCTTCAGGACTGCCTGGGCGATCTGCTGTGGCGGGCCGTGGAGGTGGTAGGTGGCCATGCGGCCGGGCGGGGGCAGGGGTTTTTTGGGACACTCGGTGTCTAAAAGGTTTGCCATCACTGGCCTACCAGCTTCTAGGTCAGTGTTTCTCAACCTTGACAATTTTAAGGCATGTGGACTTCAACTCCCAGAATTCCACAGCCAGCGTTGCTGGCTGTGGAATTCTGGGAGTTGAAGTCCACATGCCTTAAAATTGTCAAGGTTGAGAAACACTGTTCTAGGTCCTTCTATTGTAGAGAAATGAGGGGGAAAAATAGAGGTTTTGAAATGTGTACTTAAGTCCCATCTCATTTGGATGAACTATTTTTTAAATTATCTTAAATCTTAATTTGTACAATTGCAGAAGGATGTCAAGAAGGCTAGACGGGAGCAACAGCTAAGTCAGTGTAATGTATGTTTTGAAACGGTTTGTGACTGGATCAGTTGGCCATTTGAGAAAGAAGAAAAGAGCTTCTGATTCTAGTTGCGAAGGAATATGAAGTTCTTAAAATCCAGAAGCCAAAAAGTGCTCTGATCTAAATGGATTTAAGTTGGCCTGTGTGGGATCCACATCACTTGTGTCAGTGGTGAATGTGGCCCCTTTGGGAAGTTGACTGCTCAGCAGAATTGCGGAAATTGTCTTATACTGAGGTGGAAATAAGCAGGGTCTGAAGTCGAAGGCCCCAAAGGAGGTGATAGTTCTGCAGGTATCGAAAGTTATGGTATTGCATAAAGAGGAGGAACAGGGTTAGCTTGTAAGTCAGCTGAACAAAATGGGTCCCCCCACCCCTTCCTAGCACTTTTTCCCCTCTAGTGCAGGGTCCACTTTTTCTCAGATTATAGGAATTGATTGACTGGTTTGTCACCTGAGCCTGATGTTATGTGCAGAAAGTGACTGTCTGAAAGTCATCCAGCTGGCTTTCATGCCTAAAGTGGGATTAGAATTCACAATCTCCTGGTTTCTAGCCTGGTGCTTTAACCAGCAGACCAACCAAACAGGCTCTCAGCTGAACGAATTTGAACGCATATCCTTATTTCAATCTTTTCATGCTAAACCAGTGGAGCTGGTTCCTTCAATTACTGTGAAAAAAAAAACCTCATGTTGGTAGGTTAACATAGAAGTATTTTCCCCTTCACACATAGCTCAAGAAGGATATCTGGTATACATAATCCATTTCTTTCATAAGCCTTCTTTACAGCAGTTACCTATTGCCATATATGCACAAAATGAAGCACTCTGGTTAATGCACAAGCCTTTTCTCGCCACCCCTTACCAGCTGTCTTGTGTCTATCGTTAATTATCACCAGCACAGTACTTGATCTCATCTTTCACTGCTGCTGTTTTCTTCCTGCTGCTGTATACATAGCATGGCAAATATTCATTATCGTATAGTGATATTAGCACATTTCTAGTCACTGCGTTTGAGACTATACATAGAGTGCTTGTTACAGTTTTGTACCTTTACAGAATGAAGTATTCGATGCTGCAGGAAAAAAAGTTTGGGTACGTTTGTTTTGGAGGAAAAAAAGATTGGTTTTCTTTGCACTTTAATGACATTTCTGTTTTTCTCCTAATACAGAACTATCTGTTAAATTCCAAAGGTAACACAATGGATAGAAGGAAAGGGAGAGATAAAGATTGCTTAGAAATAAGTTAATAGTAATAGAATTTTAAATACTACCAGAGAACAAAAGAGATAAATCTGAGTAGAAATGCTTTATTATATAGTGTATTTGTGCTCTTAGTAGACTGCAACAGATTACTAACTTTAAGTATTATGAGCAATAAGTGACTCTATATTAGCAAAGCCCATGAGATACACGTGCTTTTTTTTCTGGAAAAAGTATTGTTAAAAGTGGCTGAAACCAGGATAATTGCATTGCTCCAGGAAAAGAACCTGGGAGCAAAATACATTCAATGGCATTTCTAGCAATGCCTTCACTTGTAAAATATGCACAAATATTAAAAATCAGTTGGGAATGAAGTGATTTTATAAAAATAGGCTCAGTGTCAGAAAAAAAAAATCCTTTGCTGTCTACTCATTTGGCACAAGGGCCTGCTTTTAATCTCTGCACCAGTATTTCCTTTACACATCACTGGAAGAAGTGGTGCTATGAAGAATGAATACTTTGCAACCAGGCAGGATGGGAGTGGTCATAAGTTTGGCAATGAACAGTGGTTCTCCTCTACGTTACGTAAATACTTAAGAGTGGAGAGTACACTGTTTTATCTGCCAATATTTTCTTTAAGATAAGCAGTGGTAGCAAATTGCAAAACATTCAGAGCACCTCCACAAAATCCAGTTCCTGGTCTCTGAGACCACTAGTGAATTTTGATAATTTCGTCCGTGTTACTATGTTTGGATGAGTAAGTACAGCAGCCACTAACTTTTAGTGCAGAGGAAAAGAAAAATCCTATCCCTCTTCACTAATATTAAAATGAAGAGGCTGAGCAATGGTAGAAATTTTCTTTGGAGGAAGAAATGCTGTTAAAATTGCTTTTGGACTGAGCTGTCACATACAAAGATTCATGCTGCCTACTCTCCTATATATATAATTACAAGGAGGATATAAAATAGATATGCAAAATCGAAGCGTTTCCTCTATTAGCAATATCTCTAAGAGAAAATCTGTGCTCAAAAGATCCTTTTTATAAAACTCTGCTGAGGAAGGAATAAGTATCTTAACCCAAATAAGTTCCATAGGCATTGCATCATCTCAGCTTCCCCACATAAAAGACAACAGTGCCTAGATACTTTCCTTTGCTAAGTACACAATTGTCTGCTTATTCTGCAAAGTAACTTCTGTTAGAAGAAAATGTTCTGGTATTGTGAAATAGTTGGAAAAGCCTGATTTTGCTTTTGAGTTCTAATAATAGGCACCAGAGTTCTCCCCCCTTTCCAATACTATAATGTGAATGCCATTTGTTGTCTCTTAACTGAAAATGTGCCAGTGTTTGCATGTCTTTAAGTTATTCAACACTGTACTCTATTTTGAAATGTATTGCACAATTATATAGTCTTTTTTTAAAAAATAAAATTGTAAGCTGCTATTGCTGCTTCAGATGCAGCCATTGTAATGCTGGGATTGTATTTGTTGCTAATACACTGCACTGTAATTTAAACAGCCCTCTTTTTAGCTAATTCTTTGAAGATAATCAGGATTTTAAAAATAGTTGGTTTTATAAAACAAAATATAAAATTGTTTAATTATATATATATATGTTAAAAGTGTAAGTTCAAATGTTAGTGCCAAAAACTGGTATTGCAACAGGTATTGGAGTTTGACAGCAAAAACACGTACAGGTGCACTGATTTTCTTTTAATTCTAAAACTTAAAATTGATGTGGGCAATGCTCCCAACTAATTTTAGTTTTAGTCATAATAAAAAGAAAATAGAAGCTAGAACCAACAAAGTATCCATAGAGTAAAACCAACCAGCCTATCTCTAATTTCTTAAAAAGAATTTGGTGCATCTGATTTAAAACTCTTTTGAAATAAACTGATAACCACTTACATCACCTTGTTTGACGTGGCAGATAGAAATTTGGTCAAGTTGAAAAGCAGCATTTGATTACATCAGAAGTTGATGGAAGAGAAACTTGTCTTGTTAAGTTGCACAGTTTTAAGATTCCACAGTGCCTTTTTTTAGAAAGCCAAACAATTTACAGCTTGCTGCTGTTGTTACCTTTACGGCACCTATAGTAGTCCTCAACTTATAACCACAATTTGGACCAGAATTTCTATTACTAAGCATTGTGATTAAGTGAATCAAGCCCAATTTAATGACCATTTTGTCATGGTTGTTAAGTGAGTCACCTTAGTTAAGTGGACCATGCAGTCATTAAAAAAATCTGGCTTCCCCCCATTGACTTTGCCTGTCGGAAGTCAACTGGGAAGGTTGCAGATGGAGATCACATGATCCTGGGATGCTGCAACTGTCATAAATACCTGCTGGTTGCCAAGCGGCCATATTCTGATCATGTGACCATGGGGATGCTTCAGTGGTTGTAAGTGCAAGGACCAGCCATAAGTCAATATTTCAGTGCAATTGCTACCCAATAGTGGCTAAAGGAATGATTGTAAGTCGAGGACTACCTTGATCCCTCTGTTATTCACATTCTGTCTAGCCTTCTTGAATTCTCTAATAGTTCCTAAGTTGTTGACACCACTAAGGCTGAATTAATCATTGTGAGAAGCAACTGATTTACCTTACCCTGATGTTAAGCCATGGAAAATCCAACATGCGAAGTAAAAAATGAAAATCTCTTTGCAAATAATGCATTGTGTAAGAAAAAAAATTCAACATAAGAACTCAATAGTATTTCGGGAGTGGGAGGCAATCATGATCTGATGCTGTTGGTCAAATTGCAATAGCTTATTTTTAGCACTTGCTACTAAATAATACAGGTCTTTACTTTTGTTGCATTAGAGAAGCAACAAGTCTAGTGAGGAAAACTAATCAAGCATTGTAATAGTCATTTTTGAAAGTTAATTTTCTACATGCTTTGCATTATCCAAGCCCTCAGTTCCTTCTGTGTGTTTTACTGGAAATGTGCTATTTATGCTTTTAAAATATATCTCTAATAAAATGCTTTCTAAACCTATTGAACTGAAATGTGGATTTGTATTTATTTATGTTTCGTGTAGCCACGGTCAGTTGATACTATCTGAAAATCAGGTATGTTTGACCCAGTTGGCAAGAGGCAAACTGGATGGATCCAAGATGCCTTGTGTGATTTGTAGTCCTACACCATTCTCACAGTTGCTCTTGCTACAGTCACCCATTAGGGCTTACAGCCACAGGTGTTACTCAGCTTCACTGGATTCCTCATCAAGTCACTACTGCCATGTTATTCCTAAGTTTGCATTAGCCATGAAGATCAAATAATGAATGCAGGGATTCCATCTGACTCGGGTATGGATCTATCCCCTTTTCATTGCTAGACTTTTCCAATCTATGAGAAGTGAAGGGTGGTAAGACACAGTAGATGTGAAGTGCTTATCATGGCTATACAACATACCCAAACTTAATTCCCACCACCATTTCCAGATAGAATTATGAAATACCTTGTTGAAAGGTTAGAAAGCCATGACTGAAGGTCAGATTCAATATAGGAAAATTTTAATGTGTGATTAAGTTATGGAAAACAGACAATGGTGTATGGAAAAAATTTATAAAAAGCAGCATATTATATCTAATGTAAACAAGCTCTTGCATTATCGTGACTTAGATGCTGAAGAATAACATTCTGATTCCAGGAACTCACTAAAGTTTCAAAGTAACATACATGCTTTTATCTACAAAACAAAACATCAATATCAGCAAAACCAACTTTCATATAAACTGGATTCATACATTGCCCAAAACCCTGGCTTGCCGATCTTGAGGCACTGAATAAACCATAATTGATAAGAGTTCTCACACCAACTATGGACATAGTACTTCACAAGCTTGAAGTTTCCTATGCTCTGTAACTTTTTCTTTGCCCTCTTGACTTCAAAATTTCCCAACGTCATCCCTCAATCTATTTTGAAGTATCATTTCTGAGGAGAGAATTAAAATTTATCAGTCATGTAGATTTTGGTGACAGGTGTGCACTATTAAATGCAATCTCAAAAAATTAATTAAAAGTTTAATGGGGATGAGTTTTGAACCATTTTTTTTGATATACTGAAATTCAGGGATAAAGAATAATTTATCTGCTTTATTTCATTTGGCATGTTGTATTTTCAGGGGCTCCTCTAGAACGAGGAGAAACTGACTCGAGAAAAAAGCTTGACCTTGGCAGAACTTTGTTGTTGTTCAGTTGTGTCCGCTAAGCCACTTGTCCTCCACCGTCTCCTGGAGTTTGCCCAAATTCATATTCATTGCATCAACACTATCATGCCATTTCGTTCTCTGCCACCCCCTTCTCATTTTGTCTTCAATTTTTTTCCCAACATCAGGGCCTTCTTCGAGGAGTCTTCTCTTATCACTGGTGGCCAAAGAATTTGGGCTTCAGCTTCAGATACTTTGGCCACCTAATGAGAAGATAGCGGCAACACTTAGGACAATGCAAATTGGTGCTTATCTAAGAAGGATGACTCAGGTTTGCTTTGGTATTGGTAGGAAGCAAATTGGGAAAGGAGCAAATATAGAGAAAATTTTAAAAAGGCAACTCTTGTGATTAAAGAACAGAGCCCAGTAGGAAGCCTGGAGACTGCAAAGCCAGTAAGATTCTTTTGCTATCAGCCACTATTTCATACAGTGTAGAAACTGGTAGGATACTGGCAATGAAAAATCATGTTTGACAGTTTATTTTCTTAATGTTGAACCTGGAATTGCACAAATTGGTCAGAGGACAAATAGATAGATAGATAGATAGATAGATAGATAGATAGATAGATAGACAGACAGACAGACAGACAGATAGATGTGTGTGTGTGTGTATGTGTGTTTAAAAAGGCTTTTTTTTTTTACATTACTGCCATAGCAAATGTTTGCAACCTACCCATTCTTTTGCCAAAAAGAAGTATTTTGTACACTTTTTTTGTACAAGACTTTCTTGGAAGATATATGCTCCTTCTTTGGCTTGAGCTGCTAAACAATATATGGTTTGCCTTCTGAAAGAATTGTCAGTTGTTACATTCATCTTCTGAATCATGTTAAGACCACAATCAAAGTCGATAGGATCTGAATAAAACAGAGTGCTGTTGGATCTAAAGAAATGCCTATGCTAAATTTCCTTCTTTACCTTTAAGACCTTTTTCCATCTGTACCTAATCATACAATTGTGCTGTGCCCCTATAACTCAACCTTCATGTCTCATACATAAGACATCTTAAGTTTTCCCATTGGGATCCATAGGGCAGGAGAAATAATACTGACAAAAGCAGAATCACCATGCAAGCCTCATCCTTTTATATGTGCATTGTGATGTTGTATACATACCCCAAAGAGATGGAGGTTGCAGCACACTAAATTGCCGCTTTCCTCATCTGGAAAAAGCAGTAAGATCCTGCTGAATTGTCTTAATTGTACCCGTGTTAGCAATGTTTCCACTTTCATTACATAAAAGTGAAAATCAGTGAGTGGCTGTGTTCAGT